GTTCTAGTCACCACATTAGAAAAAGTCTGATGCAGTTGGTAAAATTAATTTCAATAATGTTTTATCTCAAATATTAAGGCAATATAAACTCAATGTAAAAATAACTAATGACACAGTTTACATTCTTTTCTTCACACTGAGTCTGCGAAACCCAATGTGCATTTCACCCTCATTTCACATCTCTGTTTTGGTGCTACGTTTTCATCAGGGACTCGTTCTTTGTATTTATCATCTGATATAATTTGCCGTTGTAAAACTAGAGTCACATGCTCAAGCTGTTCTGAATACTTATTTCCAGTAACTAAATCAAGTTTCACTCTTTACATTTGACTTTACAGTATACCAATTAAAATTAAATAAAATCAAAATTCCATTCTTCAGTGGCACCAGCTATATTTCAAGTGCTTAGTGACTACCATGTTTGATAGTGCAATTGTGAACTACTAGTTTGCTTCGGCGTGCTTTTAGCTGAAAGGGTTGACTGTGCACAATACTATTATTTCTGTTGTTTTAACAACTACCCCTTATTTAGCCATGTGCTATATGCACACATGACATCCTTTAGTTCCCACAATAAACCTGAGAGGCAACAAACAACAGCCCCATTTTGTAGATAAGAAGAAAAATTGAGCCTCAGAGAGTTTAATCATCTTTCCTAAGATCTGAAGCCAAGATCTTTGTGTGTACAGATGAACTGATTAAGACTCTCCCAAAGTCTTGGGGAATCAGGATTCTCAACTTCCAGTCAAGTAGATTATGTGTGGATAGTTTATTCAAAATGTGTTTTCCTTTTAGAATATAAGACTTTTTCTTTTTTTGATTGGCCATCTGTTTTGGACCCAATGGGTTTGTCAGTGCTAATCACTGTGTAGAAATGACATTCTGCCCTTAGGGAAGGGTATTCAGGATGCCAAGTTGGGATGTCCATAATGCGACAGGGATTTCCTCTTCTTGAGCATTAGAAGCAGCTTCTCATGTTTTGAAGTGCTTCCTGTAGGGGCGTGAGTGGGTGGGCATGGTGGTGCACCTTATTCTGTGCTCACTGCAGACATGCGTGTCTGTGTCTGTCTGTCTGTCTGGTGATGTACTTTTCTCAGTGTTCTTATAACTGATAGTCTGTAGACTGAACTACAAAATAAGAGAAGACCCTCAACAACCTGAGGTTCTGAGATATTTGTGATAACTTCTGCTTTGCGGGAGGGTGACTGGGAGGCTACCCTAAGGATAGAGCCACTCTAAGGTGTTAGTTTTCTTTGTATGATGATATCATTTCTATTATTGTTTTAATAGTTTCCATTTAACTGACGGCAGCTTTGGGTCATAGACCTGTTTTTGACTCTAGACTCTTTAATTTGATACCATGTGCATGTAATTACAAATTCAGCTGAATCAATACACACGCATGTGCATGTACTCGTGGGCATGCCTGTATGTGCACCCATTTTCTGTCATCCAGATTGGCTCGGAAACTTTTTGGTGAAGCTGGATCCTCAGACAGCTGGGAGAATACTTGTAACAGTGCGCCTGTCCTTCAGATGCCTGCCAAGGATGGGACTGCACTGCTGCAGACACTCCTCACCACTTAACAGGTGTGAATCGCTGTGGTTTGCCCATAAAATGCTAAATGTGGACCAAAGTAAAGACTCGGCCGGCAAATACTCCAAGGAAGAGAGTACTGAGTACATGAACACACAGTGTATATATGAACACCCCCCCCCCCCCCACACACACACACATACACACACACCCCACCTTCGGGTGCTGGTTTGTGTGCTGGGCTGTGCCTGTTACAAAGAATGAGGAGGTGTGTGCTCTCACAGGGATGACAACCCAATAAAGACAGACAGACCTTGAAAGCCCTCAGTATTTAATGTGGCCCAAGAAATGTACATTAGAGGCCTGCTGTGCCTAGATTTGTGTGCTGAGGTCTGCATATCACGGGTCACTAGTAGGGTGGACGGTGTGGCTCACGCCACCCCTGGCTCTTGTCCTCCTGCTGTCTCAGAGTTTCCTTTCTTCCTTTGTGGGCCTGTGGACGAGGTGTCACCCTGTCCCTGAAGGGCTGGCAGGGGCAGCGTCACCTCCCAGCACCTGGATGCTCCTCCTCAGTGGGCTGATCCTGTGGTCAGTGTGAATGGAACTCTGTCTGGTTGGGAGTTTTTGATGCGGCTGCTGGCGCTGGGGCAGGGGGTCCTTCAGGGTGGTCTTTCAGGATGGCATGGTGGATTGTGTTTTGCAAAGTCCTTCCTCAAGCATTATCTCATTGTGTCTTTGTAAGTAAAGTATACCTGTCCCCATTTCCCCACTTTATCTTGACTGGCCCTGGATGTGTGGGAACTGAATGATGAGATGCAATGGGATACCGGTCCATCAGAAAAATGGCTTATCAGGGGGCTTGGTGAATGAAATACCTTTAAATGTGACAAAGTGGCAGTGAATTTTCCAAATTTTTTTTTTTTTTAAATCAAAGAGAGGCTTGATAGAACCAGGTGAAGCTAACAGGGCCCTTGGGGCAGGGTGGACATGGGTGTTCCTATCAGGTAGCCAAAAAATGGTTGATCGCACCTCCCTGCCAAGATGAAGAGGCAGACTTGGCTGCCTTCACCCTGGAGTAATCCTGACAAATGAGACAAACACACTCAATTAGTGCCGAGCACAGTGCAGTCCACAGCAGCCTGCCCAGGTTGGTAGATGATTGGGGCTGTAAGGGATGGATTTAGGCCAGGACATCTGGGTTCCAGAGCCTGAAGGGCCAGCTCTGTATGTTGAGGACCACTGATGGACCTGCCCTCCTGGCAAGCCCCCGGGACCTGATCCCCGGCTAGCTTCAGGAACAGCCTTGCTAAGGGGGCTCCATTGCTTCCTCTGAAGTCACATTGTCAGAATTGTTTCTCCTGTTGTGTCCTAGTGGCTCTAACCACCCCCCTGCCCTACCCCCACAGATGCCTTGGAAATCCATTTGTTCTCCAGAATGTTTTCAGTGATATCTGATCAAGGGAACAGGAAGACCCAGAGCTCGCCTCATGTTGAGGTGGGCAGAAAGGACACATTGGAAGATGTCAAGTGGGGGCCACATGGAAGGGCCTGGCATGGCAGGGCTGGGCTGGGCTGGGGGAGGCTTTCCAGGGCATCTTTCTACCCACTGGGCTGGAGCATTTGGAGTGTTGTTCTTCCCTGGATGTCCCATGTGGCTAGGGCCAGCTGACTTAAAATTCCTGAAGGTGGATGGTATTTGTGGACATTGGAGTTCTGTAGGAAAGATGTCAGGGTTTGGGGAATTTGTGGAAATAGCATATTCAGTGAGTTCTCATTCTCAAACAAATCCACTCCAGCGAGGTCATTTCTTGCACTATTGCCCTTGGACTGGCTTTGTATCTGGGTGGTTCTAACACTGGACCATGTTCTATAGCAACCTCATGTCTTGGCTTTTTGGAGTACTTCACTCAAGTCCAGGGGGCCATGGTACTCTCTCAGATGACTGTGGCCCTTCAGTCGGCATTGCAGGAAGGGTTGGTAAAAAGGGAATTGGTACAGGCTTGGCTGAAACCAGAGCCCTGATCCCTCAGACAGCCTCATCCCTATACATGTGTGCCTCCTTCAGAGGCGTCCCCTGCAAGGCGGGCTTGGCGACTTGTCAGAGTACGTGCAGCCCTCACAACCTATGCATTGCTTGTGCTTAGTGTGATCATGAAGCCAAGGTGCAAATCCACATGTTCATATATTCAGTGGACACAACTCCTTCTGGAACATTGGTATTGCTATAAGCTCTTTCCTAGGCTGAATCCAAATGGAAGTCACAAAACAACTTGGCATGGGCTGTCCACACAGTCCTTGGGGGACACGGAGTGGAAGGGTTTGTGTTATTGTGGAATCTTTCCTTCTTCCTGCCGGTGCCCCACTCCTGCCTCCTCCCAGCCCTGCATTCAGTGTGGTCCTGGGGAAAGTTCTAAGTGTTTCTGAACAGAGGGCTCACTCCAGTGTTGCCTGCTTTTTTTCCTACATAAAACTCAGGACCCATTAATGTAAAACATGTGGGTCTATATTATCGGTGTTGGAAATCTTAAAATGTATAATCCTAAGGACCAGTTTCTCAGGCTTTGCACCTTTCAAGGAATGGTGAGGGCCAGGCTAGTCTCAAAATGCAGAAATGGCACTGTGAACAGGCCACGTTGGAAAATGGAAGAGGCTAGAGTTACATTGGATTTCCCAATTTGAAGAGAAAATTAGGAATTTTCATCTTTGTATCGTTGTATCTTTGGTATCTCTGTATTTGTTTCCTAATTGCTCTTCTATTTTCTAATGATCCTTTCTATGTTCCTATCTAAAAACAGATGAATGTCCAAACTCCTTTGCCGGGACCCTGCTCCCTGCCCAGCTGTCCTCCATGTTACAGTCATATTCCTCACAGCGGTGTCTCTGCCCCTGATTCCCATTTTTCTGTCCCTCTTCTGCCGACTCCAGGAAGCTGCCCTGGGAAGGGCTCTGTGTACCTTTAATTATCACTTTGCAGAGCGGACCTCTTCCATGTAGTCCACTTGTAAGATGAAGAGTCTCAAAAATCTGAAACTAGAATAATTTTTGTCATATGAAGTGTTTTCTTTTAATGTTGCAAATCAGTTAATTTATGCAGAGAAAATAAGTAAAAACCCAACATGTGTGCTTGTGTTTGTATTTATGTGCCCAAGGAGGGAAATATATGTATGCCTGATTAAGTATATTCTGCACGTTTGTGAGTTGTTGGGTCATGTCACATGTCTATGTCAGTGCATGGAAATACACACATAGATAGATGTGTGCGTCTTTTAAAATTATCGACAGCAACAGAAAGTCTGTTCTCACGGACAATAGAAACTAGTTGAGTCCTTTGCTCCCTCCAGTTGTCTGTTTCCATGCTGCAGAACGTGAGTGCCAGATGCCGACCAGGGTGCACAGAATTCTAGCACACATGAGTTGCACCTTGGTGGCTCTTGCACTGACCAGCAACCCTGTTTCATATGTAGACTGCAGAGAAATCCTGCTTCCCATGATGACGGATCAGCTCAAGTACCACCTGGAGAGGCAGGAGGACCTGGAGGCCTGCTGCCAGCTGCTCAGCAACATCCTGGAGGTGCTGTACAGGAAGGACGTGGTGAGTGACCCACTCCAGCCTCTCTGCTGAGAAGTGATTCTTGACTCATTTAGAAAATAACGGCCTTCATTTTCAGCCTTAGCCTCTCTCTTTCTCTCTGTAGAGTTGCACCCGGAAATTACTTTTATTTATGTCTATATCATGATTTTCACATTGCAGTGTTTATCCTGAATTGAAATTTGTTTTCTCTTTTCTGTATCTTCTCGGTGAAATGCCTCCCAAGGCCGAGTATGCAATCCTTAAGGTCAGATAAAAGGCTAAGAGTTGGCTAATTACTTGCATCCATACTTGCAATTCTTATTTTTATTAAAGTAACAAACACATGCACAAAGTTTTTTTTTTAAAACAAGCCAGTGGTGCTTTGAGACTTTCAAGAAGAGCAGATCTCTGCTCTACCTCCATGGATAGCTGCCCCTGATGCTTTCTTAGCTTGGGATTTTCTTTTGCAGTTTGGAACCGTGTGCTTATTCCAGTTACTTTTTCTTTAAATGAGAAGTTGGTGCAAGCATGTGAGGGAGTCTCGTCCTGTGCCCCCATCCTCAGCACACTGTGTATGTCAGTGCATATGGGAGTGTCACTATTGATATAATTTTTTTTTTTTTTAGATTTAGTTGCACACAATTCCTTTAATTAATTAATTTATTTTTATGTGGTGCTGAGGATTGAACTCAGTACCTCACACATGCTAGGCAAGCACTCTACCACTGAGCCACATCTGCAGCCCAGACACTATTGATTTTTCAGGTGTGTCTGGAAGGTGGGAACAGGACATTGCCCGTCTCTGCCCTGGACAGGGCTTTAAGTGGATCGGGCTTCTTCTGAGCTCTCTCCTCTGTGATCTGGATACCTTTCTGGGCAATATACACACACACACACACCCCTGCACCTGGACACCCTCCCCTCAAGGACTGACTCATTCTTCCTAAGCCTGGTTAAAACTCTTGATGAAAGAGATTAGATTAAATCCATTCCTGGGGACAGGGACCTCAAGTTTTTCCGCCATTTCCTGTGGGAAGGTTTGGAAACTTCACCGAAGGCCGGCCCCAGGGTCCTGTTCCAGGATCTTTGCTTTTCTAACTGGCTGGAAGGCTCCGTGAAGAGGCTTCAGAGCAGCTCTCAGGGAGTGGGCAGTGGCTCTTCAGAGAAGAGCCCAAGTGCACATCTGACCAGACCAGTTCATGGAATGCGATCAGTTGCACACCAAATAAAAGTGAATTCTTACTGATAGAGAATTCCATGTGGTATGATTTTTAGATAATCAAAATTGACCCTCAGCTGGTGTGCAGAGATGCTGTTGTGTGGGACTGTTGAGGTCTGGGGATTGGGCTTACCCAGCAGCCTGGGTTGTTGTCTCAACATGGCCCAGTGTGTGAGTTATTGGAGGTCTAACCAGGGATCATAAACATCATACGGTTTAAATTGATTTCCTTTTTGTTTTAAGATTTGTGTAAATTAAATTACAATTATATGAGATTTTTTTCAAATTTTTTTTTAGTTATTAATGGACTTTTATTTTATTTGCTTATTTATATGTGTTGCTGGGAATCGAATGCAGTGCCTCACACCGTATGAGGCAAGCACTCTACCACTGAGCTACTCCAGCCCCAAGAGATTATTTTTAATAGACTCTAAGAAAGTGTTGTGAGTTTTCTTTGTGAAGGCTTTTGCCTTTGACAAAGACCATTTCTCATCTCATTAAGGTTTATAATTATTCATTTTTTAATTTAATCAGTTTGTTTTTTGGTACTGGTAATTGAACCCAGGACACTTTACCAGTGAGCTATAGCCCCAGTCCATTTATTTTGTTTTTAAACGTTTCTGTTCAGGGCCTTCTTAGGTTGCTGAGGCTGGCCTTGAACTCGCAATGCTCTTGCCTTAGCCTCTTGAATCTCTGGGATTGCACGCGTGCACCACCATGGCCTGCAATTGATTTACTTTTTATGGGGTACATGGATCCAGTGACCACAGGGGGGCTGGTATGTCCACGGTTGTCTTTGGTGTTGGTTTTCACTGGTGTGTCTTCCTCCAGGGGCCAACGCAGAGACATGTGCAGATAATCATGGAGAAACTCCTCCGGACAGTGAACCGGACCGTGATTTCCATGGGGCGGGACTCGGAGCTCATTGTAAGTGCCCAGCCCCACGTGCTTGAATACTTAGGTGTCGCTCAGAACATCTTCCTGGGAGTGTCACAGACTCCCCAGCCTCAGGTTCATCTGGTCCTGTTACGACTGCTGTTGGAAGATGGGTTAATTTTTTTAAAACATAGTAAGCAGGGGGGACACAGTGTGGCATATGAGATGTTCTGATTTCCTGATTCCAGGGGATACTGACCGAGCTGGAGGGCTAGCACTCAGCATCTAGGGACAGAGCATTTGGTGCATGGTTCGCCATTACTTGCAGAGAGAGACATGGATTTTCTTCTAAGTCCTCAACCTTCTGGCTGTTTCTTTATATATACATTTAAGGTGCCATTAATAAAATTTTATGAAGCACCTTAAAATGTAATGGAGGTACTCCAGTTTAGCACTTTTATTGTCTAGTCCAGTGTATTAAGGGTGTTGCTCTTAGGCCACTTAGTCTGTGTGGAAACTACTTTTCTAAGAATAGTTTAAAGATTATTTAGACAGTCTTTCTACGTTCATATCATAGTACCTTTTTTCCAGAGTTTATTGGCACCCCCTGCCCTCCCATACTTTTTAAAATTCATACATTATACTCATATATAGCAATGGGGTTCATTTTGACATATTCATAAATGCATGTTCCATAATTGGCTCCATTCCAAGCCCTTTGCCTCTCTTTCCCTCCCCTTCTCCCTCCCCTGGATCTTCTTCCACTCTTCTTCCTTCTCTGTATTATTTTTTACATTAGTGCATTATAGTTTTGCATCCACTTAGGACTCACTGTGATACTTCCATCCATGCACATGGCATAATTTGGTCAATTTCATTCCTCAGTTGTTGCCCTTTCCCATCCTGCCTCCCACCTTACCCTGCCCATTATTCTTAAATTTTGTTACTTAGTCAAAAGATCCACACATAGATCTTGTTAATTTTTTCATTTCCAGTGCCCAACAGTAAACTCACCTTGTTGAATGGCCTTTCAAAAAAAAAAAAGAAGAAGAAATAACTAAATAACTTCCTTAATCAAAGGACAGAAAGGCTGCTAAGAGTCTTACTGGCGGCCAGACAGGGCACTTGGTCTCTTGGTGTGTGAGCTGGGTTCCTTCTGCAGACCAAGGGTACAGAGCAGTGAAGTGAAGCATGTCTCTTTTGGGTGCACAGCCAACATATAGCACTGGGCTTGTTTTGTTGTTTGTGGCTGGCATCCTGGTAAAGGATGCCCGTGTAGATGAACCCCAGAGAGTGCAGGCCAGCCAACATGCCTGAGTGTTTCCATCCAGTGAATTAGCCCAGTTTATGTCTCAGAGTTTCAGGACTTTCTCTCTCTCTCTCTCTCTCTCTCTCTTTCTTTCGTACCAGTGAGCTACATCCCCATCCCTTTTTGTATTTTATTAGAGACAGGGTCTCACTGAGTTGCTTAGTGCCTCTATGGTGCTGAGGCTGGGTATTGAACTCATGATCCTTGTGCCTCAGCCTCCCGGGGCACTAGGATTACAGGTGTGCCACCACTGTACTGGGCCAGAATATCCTTTTAAAAGTCTATCTCATTTGAGTTTGGACTATCACATGTAGGAGTTAGGAAATAAATTGTTTCTGTATAAATCAGCTTTATTTGCTGTATACTTTTTCATTATTACATTATGTAACTTTGCTTCCTCATGCTCCTCATTAAGACTGTTCTTTTCTAGAATCTAGAACACCTTTGTATGCTTAATATTGAGTAGGGAATGAAGCCCATGGCCGGAGCCTGGGGCAACCCCAGGGCTCCCCTGAGGTCTGGTGGTCCCATACTCTGTGGTCCTGCTCCATTACACTCTGACATGCTCCCAGGGGACCTAGGACAGAGCTGAAGGGAGAGTGAATGGTGTGTGACTTGAAGCTGATCTAGTGTGCCCTCCTGCTCTGGTCCTTCCTGGAGTGGCACTAGGTTCACATTGGGTGAGGGACAGGCTTGTATGTATGTTCAGATGAGGGATGGCAGGTGTGGATTCAGGGGGTGATGAGGTTGCTCCCCTCTGGTTAGGGGCACAGTCCTGCTCTGGTTAGGGACACAGTGTCTTGCCACTGCTAGGAGGCCACCGAACTGCCTCTGGTCGGAACCTGGGACCATATGCATGCACTGCACTTCTGAGCTCCATTGCTGTGGCTAGGGACATTATCCTAGCTGTGTGTTCCCTTGGTCATAGCCTTGTGGCCAGCAGTTAAACTGGGGAGAGAAGGGTGGGTTTGGATGGGTACTTTGGAATGTGGGGAGGGTTTGGATGGGTACTTTGGAATGTGGGGAGCTTGTGATTTGTGCTCACATCTTGAACAAAGGCAGAAAACAGCTTGCAGAGCATGGCATTTCCTCCCAGACCTTGTGATTCTGGATTTCTTTGGGAAATTTCTCCTTTCTCAGTCATAATGATAACAATGACAACAACAGTAGTAAATATTGAGCATTCATTGATGTGCTGGGCACCACATAACTAATGGGAAGACTCTCTTTTAATTTTCGCCTTTATCCTGCATATGGCAATTGCAGAAAATACCCCCATGTGCATAGAGAAATGGTTCCGAGCCCTGCAGCTATGGTGGCAGGACTTGCGTGGAGCCTGGGTTTGATGCCAAAATTTTCTCCAAGTCTCTGCTGTGAGATTGAGTCAGGGGGTGCTGATGAGTGTGGTCCATTTCAGCATCATCAGAGAGAACAGTGAATTGTTCCCTGGTCTCTGCCCTTGTTAGGAGGCAGCTGTCCAGGAAAATAAGCCCCCTTCTCTTTTCTACCTTGAGTAGTTTCCATAGGATCAAGCCCTAGGGGTCTTCTGGTGGTAATACGGCCAGTCTAGGAGTTGCCTGCTCATCTAATGAAGGGCAGGGATGCCCCGGGTTGGAGGTACCATGTGTTCTCAGGAGCTCTTAAGGTGAACCTTTGCATGTTCTGAGAAGCAGCTGAGACACCAAGGTCCCACCCTTGGCCAGTAGTTGGCTGGGACCCAGACCCACCCCACAACCCTCACCTTCTCAAAAAGAAGTCTATCTCCTGAACCAGGAAGGGGATTGAGCTCTTCAGGAGGCCCCTCCCGATTCCAACATCTCCAATATTTATAAAAAGACTTCTAAAGTTCTTTTGAATTTATTTTGTAAAACTAAGCTGTCATGGAACAAATCTCGAAAAGATATATTCTGAATAAGCTGTAATTATTTAATGAGCCATGACAACGTGAGGATATTTCAGGAAGGACTTTCACCATTTAAAATTGTTGGGAAGGGTCTTTCTGTGGTTGAGTCCCCTTCTGGTGTCAACAGAGAAGCAGGATTGGAATCCTTCCCCTTTGAGTTCAGCATGTTAGCCTTGCCCTCTTCATTTGCCTCCGACCAGGGTGGATGCATTAGCTTCTTAATGTCACCGTTGTTGCTCTGTGAATTTAGATTAAAGCAAGATCGGGACAAAAAGATCCCTGACACGGTGGACAAAAACTTAATCAGTGGGCCTTCCAAGGTGGAAAAGGAAGAGAAAATAGTTTATAGATCTGTTTGGATAAGCTGTACCGTTCCATTGTGCCTTGGAGATTTCAATCTTCCTGTGTTGCTCATTTATGCATAAATGTAGTGGAAATCATAAGACTGAATCAGCTTAAAAACTCTAAGTAACTGATGAAAATGGATTTTTAAAAAATCAAAGTGATTAAAATATCTTTGGCTAGACGTGCCTCCCTGATGACTTACTCCTGGATATTGTCAACGGTACTGGTATGAGCGTGACCTCTGTCCCTGTGGGGCACGGTGTGATGCTGTTGGGCTCACACTGCCCTGCTTGTTTATATGTGGAGTGGAGAAGTGTGGGGCTCTGCATGTGACCGTGCCACCGTGATCTGCAGTACAGGGCTTCTTGCAACTGCAGAGGCCAGGCAGCTGGGACTGTGATGTCGTGTTTTATGAAAACTCCACTTTGCCGTCAGTTACGCATCATTTGTTTTAGTTCACGGGCTGTGGGGATCCACCATCCTAAGTATTATACACAAACAGCACTCAAGACAAGTCCACCTGGCAGATGTGGAACTGTGGACCACATGCTGAGGGGACACAGGCCCTGAAACCAGCTTGGCCATAGTGCCACACAGATGAGGAGCAGTTTCACCTGCCCTCCTCCACTCGGTTGCGTGACATATTTGAGTGAAATATGTGGGTTTATATTAAGTCTAATTTCACGTTTTACATTCCTCCTTCCTTTGAGAGGCCATCTGTGCTTTGGGCATCAAGCACCATTCTTTGTGTGCACGTATGGTCTGGGCCAAGGGCCTTGCTTGGGTTAGATGCTCTTGTGTGGCAAGTAGGTAGGCAGGCCACCTGGCTGGTGGTGACCTGGTGCCACCCCATACAAGAGTGTCCTTTCTGGAATGAGCATTTGTACACTAACTGGGACGAGACCTGAGAAAGCAATGATGCCTTGGAATGAGCCTTCTCCTGTGCTTGGAGGTACTGCTGCTTTCACATGATGGGATTCACTGCCTGTTCACGAGTAAAATGCACTGGGTGGGAAGGACTGTCACATTGGCCTAGATGCAAATCAGCAGGCTGAAAAGGACTGATTCTCCAAAGTGGAAATATGGCCTCTTTCAATGGAAGGTGCTTTGGAAAATCCATAAAATTCACAGAGGCATGTGTAGAGAAGGAAAAATTCTGTATGGATCCTTGACTTATGTTTGGGACCATAGGAGCCTCCTGACCGCTGGCCTCAAGTCATGGATACACTTCTGCTTCTTCTACTGTGGATGTCTGGATGGGGTGGGCAGTTTGCTGTTAATAAAACCCCAGAGCTTTCACTTAATCTGGGTGTTTTATAAGGACCTGGCATGCTTTCTTAGCTGGAAAATAAGGTGCTGCATTGGTTTCCCAGTGAATGGTGCCTATTTAACCAAGAGACCTACCCCAATCGTTCCAATAAAGATGTTACATCCCCTGCATGAGTGTTGATTTTGAGATGTTTATTCTCATGGAATGTAAATATAAATGTGCTTTCAAAAAATGTTGTTTTTTAAACTTATGTTTGCAACAGAAAAAAATTCATTATAAATGTTTCAAATGGATGGTGTCTGGGCTTTTATATACAGGTATCACACAAACTGTCTCTAATTACACAGTTGGCCAGCAAATCTACTTACAAATCATAAGGCTCCCGGAAAGCCACCCTGACACATGAGTTTGTGTGAGCAGCAAAGACTATAGGTCCATTTTTATTTGGTGTTGAGAGAGTAGTTTTTCATGCCTTTTTTTGTATTCTTGGGGCCTTGATATTTTTTTCAAGATTGGTCACTAACTGTAGCAGAGGAAATAAAAACCAGTCATTGGTGAGTAAAACGTGCTCTGTATTTCATACATATTCAGACCTGCCTGAGTTAATTATTGAGCGATGTTAAGAGGTAATCGGTAGCTTTCACTCCACATGTTATCTACCAAATGCAGGCCACCCACCCCAGCATGGTTAGTTTATGGTAATTCACTAAACAGGATGTTATTTCTGTTCTTTGCATCACATAGTAAAATGTTTACGTCCAGTTAGTGAGCTGGCTGCACATTTAGCCCATGCCAAAGGTGCTATTGATAGAGCTTTTATAGATAAAAGAGTCTATGTTGATTGGTTGGGTTGTGGTTGATCTTTAGGCAACATCACACCCTTGAAACTGCCTCAATTAGTCATCAATTCACATTTTCCTTGCTGATAAAAATGCTCCCAAAGAACCAGTCCACCGTGGTGGGTTTTATTGACATGCCATGCTGTTACTATCAGCATGATACAGAGGAGTTCTTGGCCATTCTTCCTTTCTAGTTCTTACTCTCTTCTGTGACTGACAAAGATCAGAACACTTTACTCGATGGTGAGTCTTGTTGTAATTAATGATCGTGTGCCTGGGGCCATGGCATGCCTATGGGGGTCCTCCAGGGAAATGGGGTTGCAGAGGCCGTCCCTATTCCCTATTCTGTGGGCCAATCCTGAGCCAGGGGCTACAGTACCCTTGATGCCATATGGTCCAGCCATACTTTGCCATCCACACAGGCACCGCTGAGCAATCTTGCAGGATGCTCAGGAAGAGCCTGCCGGTTGCTCCTGCCCTGAGCTAGTGAGGTGTCCCCTGCCTTGCTTCCTTTCTCATGTATACTCCGAGGGACTTGGGTGTGGGAGTCTGAGATTGAAGATTAAAAAGCAGAGGTCCTGGCCTTTTGCTTCTTGCAACTGAGTGGCATGTTGTAGAGTGACCCTGGGCACCAGCATGGCAGGCTGTCCTTGCTGCATCTCAGTATGTATTCAGGAGGAGCTTTGGGGTGGCCTGGTAGGTGGCTGGTGGCCGATGTAGAGGGGCTGGGTGTTCCCTGCACTGCCCTGGGTCAGTGCACTGGGCTTGCCTTCCCCTTGTGCATGTGGCCCGTCCCCTTGTGCATTTGTCCCCTCCTTTCTCTGAGGAACCTGTGCTGGTCGGAGGAGCCTCACATCCAAGTGTGTGGTGCCCTGTCCTCGCTCAGGGACTCTAGACCTTGGGCAGTGCATTTGCCCCCACAGGTTGTCCGGGCAAGACAGCAGTGGTCTGCCCGTGGACGCCAGGCCAGGAAGGGGCATAGCCCAGAAGGGGTGCTCATTTCCACCTGGGGGCAGCCAGAGAAGAAAGGAAGATGCTGGCCAATTCCCTGGGACTGGGGACCTGCTTGTTAAACGGGCAAGAGAAGCTGCCTACACCCGGCTATTCGAGGATTTGTCATGAATGAGTTTAGTTATCTACTTGGAGTTTTTTCAGAAATTAGGCCTCAGGTGACGGCGTCTTGGCATTAGCCTGCACGGAGTCCTGCAGACTGTGAAAAGTTCCCGTCTTACCAGCAGCCAAGCCCCTGCCCAGTGCACGGCTGGGCAAGGTGTGAGCCCCACCCACCCCCACAGGGCAGGCAGCATGCCACACCACAGTATCCCGCTTTGCCAAGTCCTGGTGAAATGGTTTTCAGCCCAAGTACCCTTCCTTTGTTATTATTTTCTCAGATGACTTTTATTTTCTCAAATTATTGAGGCTATGAAATAAGTCTGATAGCCACACAAAACATTACCTTTGATTTTTTTATTTAAAAATTAATAAAGAACTTGATGACAAGTATAATAATTAATCTCTATACGTAATGCCATGTACATGTACATATGAGGGAGCACGGGACATGTTACCTTGGTTTTGTGTCAAAGTTTTTGCTTAAATCTGTCAAGAGAAGGATCTCCATCCATCAGTGATGCATCGCAATTAAACCATGAAATGATTTTGAAAATGTTATTTTCAAATGTTTTGGAGGTGCTTTCATTTTCCAGGAAGAATTAGTTTACCTACAGAGTTTCCTTTTTGACTCTGAAAGTTTTAACCATAGGATTTTGGTCTAAACTGGTTTGACATGGGGACATCTCCTGTTCCAGGATGCCCTCTCGGTGGGTCAGGTGTGCAGTGCTGGTTTAGCAAGCTGCTGACACCTTTCTTCTTTCCATTCACTAATATCACTAGGGTTCTTAAAACAGAAGGAGAGAGAACTTGTCGCAAACATTTTTATAACTTTAGTTAAAAACAGTATAAAAACATGAAACACGTTTTTAAAGTTTTAGTCTACATGAAACAATTGCACTTCCTTCAAGGTACAGGAACAACTTGCCTATCGCTCTTCTTGCACAAAAAATATTTCTCAGTTCTGTTACTGCTATTCAGGGATTTGAATCCTTATACAATATTTCTACAACCGGGGTGTGTGTTAAATTAAGTATACCTCTGCAGTACTGTTTGAGTAACCCCTAAAGAATGTTTTCACAAATACTCTTCTTTTGTCTTTTTCAAGTCCAGATCTGATTGCTGATAGCTAGGTCCTTATAGAACCAGACGCTTAAAACTAAAACAGAATTGCTGTTAAGTGAGGAGGAAAATGCATGGCAAGAAGTAGCTCTGGTGTGAACCAAGCAGGCTGCGATCCTTTTCCCAACACTAGCCACTTTGTGTTTGGCATCTGATCAATGAGGTGTGCACGATGGCACGTGATTAGATATGAAACTGCTGGACAAAAACTCGAAGACTGGGTTTTTCAGTATGTTCACAAACTATTCAAAATTTAAGTTGTACAAAAAAAGGCAAAGTAAGATCCCTACTTCCTATTGTGAAAAGCAAAAAATTGATAGACAAAGTCATTAACAGACTAGGGGATTTTTTTTTCTATAAAAAGATACTTGCAAAGGTGCAAAGAAATGAGTGAAAAAATAAAGGAACTAAGATTTACATTGCAATGTGTAATCAAGAGAGAACTCTGAGTGTTACTGTGGATTTAAAAAATACCTAAAAACATTTGATTCACAGCTTTCCCCTAAGTATGTCGTTTAGTACAACTTACTAACAGGTTAAATGTAGGTGATATTAAGTTTATCCATTGGTAGCAGCTAAACGGAACACGCTGTTTCTCTTTGAGATGGTCAGACCTTCCATGGTTGTTATAAAGCATAACGAATTATATAAAATGTCTGGCTGCTCTATGGGTGAGCAATGTCTCTGAGGATTGATCCACAAAAACACTTCCCGCCATGGCAGAGAGCCTGTGATTTATTGGTGACTGTGTTATCCATTGTGTATCTCTATATGTGTTTTCAAATTCTTGCCAGAATTTATCATTTGGCCTTTGGGTACCAAAAGATTAAAAACGAGATCTAAGAAAGCTGAGTGTCCAATAGCTCTGACCCTGTCAACTTGCAATGATTAAAGGCATGTCTTGACTTTGGGGGACTCCTGGCTGCTGGCCATTTGGAAAATGAGCAGTAAACATGTCGTAGGTCTAGAGATGAAGAGGGTGCTCAATTTGAGGTGTCAGTGTGACACTGAGATGTGGTCACTTGGCTTAGCGCTACAGCACATGAAGGCAAATATACATAGAGTCACATTTTAGAGATTATTCATGGTCTCTGACCACTTGAAAAAATTGTGCTTTCTCCGGAATTTGATGTGCTGAAAATTGCACTCGCCCCCTGCTTATTTGCAAGATGGAACGTAAAAATGAAGTCCTCTGCAAACATAAGGCTTGCTTTTTCTTCTCGTTATTTAAAAATAAAGTAAAGGCTGGAAAATAATTATGAGTTTTCGCTGTGCAGAGTGACAGCCTGCCATGGTGCAGGTTGGTAACCTAATCCTTGCAGATCTGGGGGGTTAGAATTTTTACTTATCATCGTTGAGTACATAAGTTTCATTTCAGGTTTTACATCCCACATCCATGAACTGCAAAGAACAGCTAGCCAGGTGTGACATTGATTACCTTACTCTGTTAATTATCTGGTGGGACGAAGGCCTTTTTGGTACGCAGGGCGAGAAGCGGGGAGTGCGTGGATTGGCACCGCAGTTCCCTCGATCCTAATCGTTCTGGAAAAGGACTGATTTAACTCCAGTGGGTTTTAAAGACAGCCTCGAGACTTCATACCACCAGTGTTAAAGGAACCAGAGTTTCCACCTTCCATGCTTTTTAGACTCAGTTTTGGATTTTTGCTTGGGCGTTGCGGAGTACGTCTCCTGAGTGTAAGGCGAAGGGGCGACCTGAGTTTCCTCGATAGGGTGCAGTTTCCTCAGCACGGGCTGCAGCTTGTCTTCCTGCTGCTTAAAGTCCAGCTCCACACTAGAAAGACAAAGCAAAGCACTCAGCCCTCCATTCTCCTCTGCGAAAATCCCCCTCGGGGCAGCGAAATTTGGCAACCTTCTACCTGGGTAATGATGGCTCATATATTGTTTGTAATATAATTTTATGACTTAATATTAAGCAATTGACCATATTACTTTTTAGCTCTAGATTGCTGTACATCATTTCAAATAGGCTAATTTTCTTCAGAAAGTAACGTATTTGTTTTCATGCGTGAACCTTTAAGGCTTTGTTAACATACACAGTTGGTGTCAGAGTATATGTCACATCTGTTGGAATGAAAAGCGGGACCCTCGAATGACCTCATTGTCCCACATGCTGTCCACCTGTGCTTCCTGGAGTAAGAGGTGACCAAAGACAGGAGGAAGAGGTCCTCTTAATCCATACAGCCCAGGTGCCTGTCAGCTCTGGTGCTGAGCAGCTGGCCATGGCTCAGAAACACCTATTTATCTCACCCAAAAGCATTGTGAAATAAAATGACCTTGGCTTACACTGCTGGCAAGATCTTATTTGTCTGAGAAACGCCTCAGAGCCACAGGGTCCGGCTAACACTGGGGAACACAGTGTGTTTATCGAGTCAACACCATCGAACGTTACTCAGTAGTTATCAAACAGAGGTTTTCAGAAAGCAATATAGATAGTGTTAGGTAAAAATAACACAAGTTGTAATGACATCGCTGAAGCCATCGTGGGTCAACATGTAGCCAGGCGTGATGTTTGTATTAGAAAGATGGGATTAAAAATGATTTTTTAAAATATGTGTTTTTTTCTTACAAAAGTTCTCTGAAGAATGCTGTCATCTTGTCTGGATTCCACTCCCCCATGTCTGTGAGAGGGAGCATTATGAGATCTCCTACGGTACTTCTAACAGGGGCCCAGCCCACGTGTTGTTTTTCCATGACGACCTCCCTTTCTGCTCACGCTCACTTGCCTCCCTGCACCCCTAGGGGTTGAAAAGGGTGCTGCCTCCAGTCAGGCTCAGGGGAATTCTGCTGTGTCTTCCTTGCTTGTGTGGTCTGGATGCCAGACCAAACGTCAGTGGGTTTCAGTAAAAGCTTGGTAGTGATGTGGATGCATGAGCTCATAACGTTTTATAACCAGTGGAACCGTAAGCCATTTATAAACATGAAATCCTATTGATTTAGAGAACCATTAATCCTAGCCAAATTTTGACATTTTGGAAAGACAAAACAGCAAAGCTGTATTATCTGGAGTTTTCAAAATAAGTTCCAGCCCTTTCTAATGGGCCATTTTATGTTTTAAATCCAGCACTCCATTTTTCTTATTGTCAAAGACTATAATATTACTTAAAAATTGAAAAAAAAATTGTCAGTGAACGTTATGGGCTAGTTCACCCCTGAGCCTAAAACCAAGACTTATTCTTCCCTCTTCTGAAGGCCTCTGAGGTATGCTGCAGTTTATAAAACTTAGGAAAAATCCTCACGAACTCAAGCCTTGTTAACCTAGAGCACATGACCCAGAAGTATAGTCCCTTTTAGGGACATCTGTGGAAAGTGCAGGCCTGAGCATACACTCATGTACAGAATTCCAGCTGCAGTTCTGTGATGTGCCACAGAAAGAACGTAAGGTTCTGCCCAGGTGCTGGGTTAAGTCCCTTGTTCTCTGTAAACTTCAATTTCATTCCTTCAGGGGAGATCATTCACTGAATTGTGGTAACTGCCCCCTTTCCCAATGCACCACCCAAACCAAGTGTTTGCAAAAGTTTCCTCCATTATACAATGTGACTCAAATATTCTTTTATCTTTCACTTATCTGCTGATTACTGATTTGCTCATGAGAATAGGATCTTCAATTTGACATTTAGCTAGGCAGACAAGAGTCTTTTACTGAGTCTGTGAGGACAACCACTTCAATTGTCCCAGGTAACTTCTGCATTATTAGAGTAGGGCAGATGCTAGCACCTCCTAGGCTTACAGTGCAATCCCAGTACCTGTAATCATTGAATTCCCATTAAGCAACTACATTGGGAATCCTGTTATTAACCAATTTATCACACCGCAGAACCATGTAATCACAGAGTAATCTAATCTGAGTTCTTGTTAACAAAATCACGGACGTTGTCTGTGGAGTAAATTCCTGGTTGCTCCCCCAGTAGGCTGCCCTGGGAAGCTGCAACCAGGAGCAGGTTTGTTGGTGGAGAGCGACTCTGGTAGTAGGCTTGAGAGCCTGTGAGTGCCCACGGGGACATGCCTGCAGTGGGAGTCAGTGGGGTGATGGTGAGCTGTGCCCCTTGCTCCTCCACCCGTAGCCTCCAGGTTGCAGAGCATCTGCTGGGGGAGGAGCAGCAGCCCGGCAGAGTGGGCGGTGTGCCACGGCTGCTGAGCACGGGCACTGTGTGTTGCTGTGCAGCGCTGACTGCTGGGACTTTTCCTCTTGGTAGGGGGCACACTAGGTCCCCAGGGGTCTGAAGCAGACAGCAGGCTGGACAGGGCAGTACTACAAAGCTAAAAGTCTGGTCAGTTCTGGGTGACATACAGTAGAAGTGTTTGTGGTGCTAAGGAACCAAGTGGCCAGAAGAAAGCCACACCTGACCTCTTGGTGGGCAGATGGACGACCTGGACATTCCAGGGCACTGTGATTCCTGTGTTGGTAGCCCTCCCTCCTGTTAGTGAGTTGTCCAGATGGGGGATGGGGGCTGCCTGGTGGAGGAACAGTGACCCACACTTTGGTCTTTGCCATCTGCTGCTTGCATATGCCGTAGGGCGGTACTGTCTTTCCCCTTGCCTCCTCCTACCTGATCATTCTGCCACCTGGAAAACTTTTCCTGGCCCCTGGCATGGCTGGCCTCCCCCAGACCCACTGTCCCCAGGTAAACACAACCTCTGCACTGGCTGACCGTCTTCCTACAGGTCTCCCCATCCTCCGTTCTTTCTAAATTCCTTCGTGCATTAACCTTGATGAATTATCACATTTGTTTCCATATTATTCACCTCCATCTCCCTTTGTGCAGTGGTCTTGCCTGGGGAAGAGCATTATCCTCTTTCTGTTCCCAGCACCTGCAGCAAGGCCCTGTCACTGCCTAAGTGACACCTGGAGATGAATGCACAAGAGCAGAGTCTGAAGGCAGGTCCCACCTGGGTTCTGGTCCTAGTGGCCCAGGCCTGCTTTGTTCTGGCCAGTGGTATTCTCCTTGCCCCCACCTGCTCTATACCACAGAAACACAGAGCTCCCCCTGGAGGCAGCGGGGACCACTGCAGGATCTTTCCAGAGGTGGGTTCCAGTGCCTACTCCCTCTTGCTAGTTATCTGCAGGGAGAACTTGGGTACAGGGGTGGCATCAGCAGAATGCCTGTTTCTGGCCAGCTGCTCCTGGCTCTGTGCTCAGAGGGTTCTGGGCACATTGTTTTATTCTCTTTGCATTTGTCCTGTGACCTAGGAGAATCTGGGCCCACACTCTTGTTTTACTCATGATGTTGCTTCTAGATGCCATTAAAGGCAATGCACCCGTACCAGGTGGTTTGGAGTTCTTCCTCGGCACGACCAGGTGGAAGCTTATCCCACGACCACCATGCAGAAGGAGCTGGGCTTCCCATCCTTCATCCCTTAAGGACTCGCTACAACCATCCTGTCTTAATGCCCCGTGGCACTCAAGGCAGGCCTCTGGTGTGTTGCCCAACTCAGGAGGAATCCTGGGTTTGTAACCAGGCAGGGCTGTACACATCATGCTGAGTGCTTACTCTCAGCTTGAATAGCAGCCTAGAGAAAGTCCTGCCTCTGGATTTCAATGCATGAAAGGCTGGGACCCAGCTGGCCCTCCCTGAGTGTCTGTGTTGGACGCAGCCAGCACATTGTGCTGGGTGGAATGGAAAGATCTCTGGGTTTCGAGGCTTGTTTACAACATGTAAGCCCAGGAATTGAAGCTCTCTCTCTCTAATTCTCCTTGCCATGCTTGAGTCTCCATCCTCTGCTGACGGCTGAACCATCCAAAAGAACACTGAATTCCTCGTACAGGAAGCCCTGTCACGGTGCATACCACCATAAAGCAAAGCCCGGGCCACACCATGAAGATGGTGAGGTGCAATTAAAGCAACTGGGGAGAGGTTTAATTTATTTGGTTAGTCTTTTCTCTTAAAAATGAATTTTCAGAATAGGGACTGTCTTCAAGAATTATTATTCTATTTCCAAAGAAGTAAAAATCTGCTCTAAGCCTCAGGCTGTTCTGTCAGCCCACTCAGGAGCTCTTATCTTCTCCCCGGGGAAGGTGCTAGGTTTTGTAGTAACACTTCCAGCCGCTTCCTAGATGTTGCAGAGCAGGCCTTCTTTCTCCGGTTTCTACGATTTGTCTAATGCTCCTATAAATACTCAGGCCTTGCCAGCTTCCCTACAAGCTGTCGCCAGCTCCTCCGGTTAATTTCAGAGGAATGCATTAAACAGGTCTCCCTTTCCAGGCCTCTCCGTGCAGCAGTTACGAGTTAAAAGCAGGTGAGCGTGGCCTGCAGCACTTGCTTGTTTTCTGGAGTGGAAGGAGATCTGAAATCTTTTGATTTCTCAGCCTGCTAGGCCACGTGGCTCAGTGGGCTGTGGATCGAGGCCTCTGCTTTTAATTCTCTTTGAATTAGATCACAGAGTCCTCGGTGCTAACTGTGGCTCTGCGCTGACTCATGCTCTACCCCTGTGGATAGACCTGCTCACCTTGGGGACCTGATCTCCCTTGGCTGTGAAATGATGGTGGAGATGTGCTTCTACTCACATGGTGGTCCCAAGGAACAGCCATGCAGAGCCCAGGAGAGCCAGCACATTGGGGTGTAGCTGTGAATAGGACACATAATATCCCCAAAGCATGATACGCGATGTCTGGGGACCTAGGCCACAGCCTGGGCACCTTTGTTAGCACCTGGGCAGCACTGTACTGTCCAACGCAGACTGAATGTCAGGTGCAGTTCCAGGCCTGCTTTGTCCCTCACATGCCAGGGAACTGAAGCCTGTCCTTTCTTCACGGGCTTCTGCTTATCTATGTCG